GCTACAGATGATGCACGATCAGACGCGAGTAATATTACCATTTGACTTTCTCCTAACGCAGGAGGATTGCTTGACTATGGTCCATGTGAGGGGTAGCAAGCCCATCTTCGTCAAGCCAGAGGCTGTAGTGATGAACCGGACTGCTAGCTCAAGTGAAATCCTCATCATCGATGACTCGCCGATTAAAACTGCAGCGAACACGCACACATATGCAGTGCACCCCATCTCTTGTAGTATGGAAACTAGGGAGAAGAAACCGTATGTTCTGGGGGACCTTGCAAAACGGCTTGGAGCGATGGTGATAGAGAACCGGCCAGTCCAGGAGGTGGCTGCAGAAATCAACCAAATGGCAGATGGAACGGTATATCAGAAGCCATTTGATCGGACAGACACCAGTCATCATTTATGGCATGTATATTGTCTAGCCAAGCACTATCCGCATCTCCATAATCTGCTCAACCGGATGGGTTCTTCGACCACTGAACATGAGCGTGGACGTATTAGAGAAGAGATGGCATTACTATTGGGTTTAAATCCTGATAGTGTGGAGAGTGATGAAATTCCAAGATTATTGTATAGGCGTTGGAGGCAAAAAATAACAGTCTGAGATGGCATGTATTTATTTAAAAATGTAACTTATTATGGCATGGGGTTCCATGCCATTGTATTAATATTAAAAGACAATTCTTTGAGAGGATTTGCATTATACTAGAAGTGTTACAGCATGTTATTGGAAGTCTACGAAGTTGTTTTATTAATAATGGGAAAGTAAAGATTGAATGGGGACTTGGGCTCCACCTAGACTCGGAGCAACTGAGCCAATATTAAAAGGATGGAAAGAAATTGGACGACGATGACAAGGAGAAGAGAGAGGTGAAGCAGTGGCAGGGGGAGGAGAAGTGATTGAGTAGACATTTCCTTGTTTAAAATAAAATGGCATGTGCCTCAATGCAGTTGAATTTTGTTATATTTATATACTATATAAAGGTTTGGAAACCTTATTTTACAAGTGGGATAATGACAATTCCCACTTTAACGAAATAGAGCTTTATAATAGAATATAAATAATTGAGTATAGTTGAGAAATTGTATGTTACCTAAAAGCTGCTCGATGCATGAAGTAAGGTTGGCCAAGTTGTTTATCAAATGGAGTCGTGCTTGTGGCCTTCTTTGGCAGCCAGTCCTCTCCGAGTTTTGTAAGCTCAATGGTGACGAAGTCCTTAAATGGAAGTTGCTCAGGATCATCCCCTATGAAAGGCGCTAGAAACATCTCCCCTTCATATACAGTTTGTGAAATATAGATGGTCTTCCTCATCACAGTCTCCATCATACTGTCCAAACATTTTTCTCCTTCTCTGAGTCTGCTATTGAGGTCGTTCAGAATGTGTACCTGTTCCTCATATATAAGCTTTGACTTTGAGATGTTGTAAATAATCTCATCTGGAGTTTTGCCCACTAAAAATTAACTTTTGTGAGAACCTTCATGTAAATACAAACAATACTTACTTTCATGACAAGCAATCTCTATTATAATATCGAACCACTCCTTTGGGCATCGAGGGTCAGCCACACTAAGTAATTTCTTTAGCTTTGTCTTCTTTGTGCTGTTGATTTTCTTGTCAATTGCAGCTAAATGCTCTGAGAGTTCTTGATCATTTTCAGCTCGATGCAACTGTGCATATGCATCTTGCTTAATCTTCACCAATGGCTGAAGACAACACAAACATTCTATGATAAGAAGTATACTTAAAAGAACATACCTTACTCCACACAGCTGTCATAAAAGCCATTGGATTCTTGTACCATCTATAAAGTTTCATTCAGCTTGTAGGGAGATTCTAGAGTGAGTGAGCACACCAGGGATGGGACTTCGTCACCTGCGAGGGGAAGTAGCTGTTATAGTCTTTAGAGAAATCAAAACACTCTAGCATCCTGATGACCTCGTTGATGCCAAATAAGTGATGCTAAATCATCACCATAGTGGCTGCGGACTGCATCCTCGTCGAGATTGGCAAGAAACCGGATCTACTCAATATCATGTACTAGGCTTTGTTTCTGCATTGCAAACTGTCCCAGTCTGCAAAACACAAATTGTTAAAAGTGATTGAAGAGGGAGAGGTACTTATGCATTAATTTTGTGGCAAGCTATTACAAGCCTTGCCACATCTAGAGATCCTCTCGCGTGTACATGTCCAACCGGAACATTGATGTGATAGACAGGATCGTCTCGGAAGCATTCTTGGATGCACTTCATCCACGCGCACCAGCGATGATTCCCGTCGATAATGTAGAACATTTTCCCCACAAATTGTTGAGTCTCAGGATGGCTCATAAGCTTGATGTCAAATTCGCGGGACTTCATTTTCCAAATGTCATCCCAATCCCTCTCGATTTCCGGTGACACCGAGAGGGTATTTGTCGTTCCTGGCTTGAAAACCGAAACAAGGAACATACCTATGTTTGTCCCAAGGCCATTCTGTTTGTACAGACTATAGATATCCATGTTGACGAAGTGCGGTGAAGCAGACCGAACGATGCTTGTCTGAGTGAATCGACATAGTGGGATTTCTCGGATCATGTGCCCCGGGCCTTCCCACTTGAGAGACTCCAGAGTCGTGTGAATGGCCTTCTCTTTAGTTCTCAAAACTGTCTCTTGGAAGCGCTTGTCGACAATATGTTCAGGTAGCTCCACTTCTCTTTCAGCTTCAGCTACACCTCCAGTAGCACCATTATCAGATTTAGCCCCCCGACTCGGGCCCAACACCGCCATCAGGCGCACTTGGGCACTACTCCGTTTCTGCCATATTTTGTGAATATGTTAGAGTAGTGGCATTTGTGGTTGTGGCAGCAATGGTAGTGATGACAATGGTTGCGCTGGTGGTGGTGATGATGGTGGCAGTGTTGGTGGTAATGGTGGTGATGATGGTGGTGGTAGCAGTGGTGGTAATGGTGGTGGCGGTGGTGGCGATGGTAATGGTGGTGGTGGCATCGATGGCAGTGGTGGGGGTGCATGTGGACTGGAGCTATGTGGTTGGGAAGACGGTAGAGTTGTCGCTATGGAAATCTCTATCTAAAGGTCAACTTGATTGTCGTCCTGGATCTCATCTTCCTCATGTCTTCTTTTTGATCCAACATCCCTCTCCTTTTGTAGTTGCTTCTGTTTCTGAAAAAAAAAAGAACTCATTATAAATTATAAATGCATAAGAAGAGGGGAACAAGGTGTGGGCTTGGTGCAGGCGCTGGTTCGCCAGCGAACCGGGCCTCCCCCAAGCACCTTGGCCGGCCTGCACCAAGGCCAACCGCCCGAGAACCTTGCTTTGGCGCTTGGAGGCGGGCCGGTTCGCTGGCGAAACGGCCCTCCTCCAAGCGCCAAGGCCGGCTCACGGGCAGTTGGCCTTGGCAGTTGGTGCGGGCGCCGGTCCGCCTCCAAGTGCCAAGGCCGGCTCGGGGCAAATGCCCGGGCCGGGCACTTGGTGCACACTGGCCTTGGCACTTGGAGGCGGGCCGGTTCGCTGGCGAACCGGCCCACCTCCAAGCGCCAAGGCCGGCTCACGGGCAGTTGGCCTTGGCGCTTGGACTTAGCTGGCTCGCGCCAAATGCCCAGCGTGGGCATTTGGCACAAGCACTTGGCACCATTGCCGGCCAAGTGCCTTGGCCGGCCTGTGTGGACTTGGCTGGCCCAGGCGGAGTGCCCAGCCAAATGCCCGGCCTGGGCACTTGCAGCGGCAGTGCTGGGTGCCTAGGCAGCGCGGCGCTGGCGTGGCGTGGCGTGGCGTGGGTGATGCTGGGCAGTGGCGGTGCTGGGCAGCGACGGCATGGCAGCGGCGGACCTAGGCAGCGCTGGTGCTGGGCAGCGGCGGACCTAGGCAGCGCTGCGCTGGGCGTGGCATGGCAGTGGGCGGCGCTCGGCAGCCCTGGGCAGTGGCGGTGCTAAGCATGGCGTGGTGTGCGTGCAGTAGTGCTAGGCGTGGTGGCGCTGGGCATGGCATGGGCGCGGGGGCGCTGGGCGGGGAGGAGAGGGAGTGGAGGAGGAGAAAAAACTTACTCTTGGCGGCATTCTATTCCCGCAGTCACTCCCAATCTCCTGCGATACTTTCTGTAAAACCCTAATGCCGGCGGCTGCCCTAACCCTAACCTAACTTTCATCACAGCCGTTCATCATGGATGCAGTAAATCTTCACTATACAATAAATAATAAATCTAGCACTGTACAATTTCTATTCCGCCCTAGATTTGATCACATGACAAAGTCCTTTTGAATTGTAATTTAATAATGGAGGTGTGCTCTAATATGACTATGTCATAATGTGAAATAATGTCACAGACGCATGTGTTGAATTGATCAAAGTACGAAATTGTTAGAAAATATAAGATTATTAAATCGTAAGGTGTTATTTCCAAAGCAATGTATATAGATAATTTACTATAGGTGATAGATGGTAGTACAAAGATGGAATATATTTAAATGAGTTCAGAAGAATGTGATGATTTCTAGCTTTAATGAAGTACTGAAAATATGTACAATATTTAATTTATTTGGCAACAATTGATTGATGGTAAATCCTAGAATAAAATCATTCCTATCTTTCATATTATGGCACATGCTTGAGGTGATATTTCTTTCCGTTCTACCAAAAGTTAGTGCATATAATAAATTTGAGTATGTTTTTGAATTCAATGTATATAGACTTTTAATATTGTACAACATAGTCCTATATACTTCATACAGAATTTATTATAACAACATTATCGATGTTAGATCCTAGAATAAAATCGCCCTATCTTTTCACATAATGGCATAGCACATGTGAGGTGACATTTCGTTATAAAAGTTCAGAGTTCCAAAACCTAAAGGCAACAAAATGGAGGGCTTCCTTTTGCATTACCAAGATCACCCACCGCTTTCTATCTCCCAGAGTCTTATTTCATAAAGTTTTCTTTGCTGACGTTTCGATCTTTCTCTCGGTTCTATTTCATTGGAAGCTGTGATTCGCAACAACATTGGTGTAGTTGAATGATCAGAGTTTCTTCTTTCGAGTGTAGGTGAAGGTGGATGTAAGCTCTTGAGTTTGGACTTCCCGGGAGGTCACCCAGCCCAGTACTATTCAAACCCAAGGACGCTTAACCCCAAATATCCCAAGACCCTTAACCGATTGGAAAAGGGGGTGCACTCTTGTTCATGGGCCCTTTCCCTCTATATTTGAACCCCATGGATCGCCTCTCAAGTCGTTCTCTTTGGTTGCTTACAATCCACCACGCTTCCCTGCAAGTTCACGCCCTCGTGAACGGAAGCTGAGAGCCGCAGCTCTCCCGAGAGCCCCGCTCTCTTGACACCCTACCCCTCGGGTCGAGCCCAGCGGGAGCAAACTGGACCAGCCAGATGTCAATCAATATGTGGTGCGATTCCCTTAGCCAACCAACAGAGTCGGACCCGAGACCCCTCTGATACCAAATGTAAGCTCTTGAGTTTGGACTTCCCGGGAGGTCACCCAGCCCAGTACTATTCAAACCCAAGGACGCTTAACCCCAAATATCCCAAGACCCTTAACCGATTGGAAAAAAGGGTGCACTCTTGTTCATGGGCCCTTTCCCTCTATATTTGAACCCCATGGATCGCCTCTCAAGTCGTTCTCTTTGGTTGCTTACAGTGGACAACATTGGGATTTGCAACATTCCAAGTCGAAAGAGATTCGAGTTTTTGGATCTCCAATCAAAGTGCGAGGCTGTGATCCTGCTAAAGTGAATGTGAAGCAAGAGTCGGTCATCATCATTTCTTCCTCTTCTAGTTCTAGTGGAGATGTTAGTCCAGTGCGAGCCAAGAATTTCCAAACTCCAACTTCACTGATATTCCAAGTTGTTTGCAACGCTTTCCAGTTTTCCCACCTCTCTATCAATGTTCGTTCCTTTCTGCATAGGCCTGTTAGCGAGCTCCCATCTACATACAATGGCAATATCTTCTTTGAACTACCACCTTTTGTCAGCTCCAAACGAAAGGGGATGGAGACGAAGCAGGATGTCCACAACTGGTGCAAGATCAAGACCACACATTTCCAGCATTTCAAAGGCACAGTGTCCATGGTTCATTGTGGTGGGTATTTGGATTGTGTGAATAAAACATGCAATCAAGAGTGCGGTAAAAACTCCATATTTTTTGAAGGATCTGCAACCAATCCTCCCCTCTGTGACACCATTGGTGTTGGATTCAAGTGTCGGTTTTGCAAGAATGCTCCATTGTGTCGTGCCATTTGCGGGGCCAAGATGTACTATTTTCTTCCACGGGATGGAGAGGTTGGTAGAGCTATAGTACATATTGGCATGCACACACATCCAATGCAGGAAGGGATACAAAGGAGTTCAGTCAACCATTTCAAAGATGCAGTGCAGATAGAGACTGTGAGAAACTCATCTGCAACTCCGAAGCATGTTCAGAAGACAGTGCTCAAGGATTTTATCGCAAATACTTTACTTGATCCGGACTACAAGAATACTCAACTGGATGAGGCTAGCTTGCGGGAGTTACTACGACATGTGCAACCTGCAACTAGCCTCAGGAGGTATGAAAATATTATTACATACTTTTCAATAGTATCTCTCTTACATTTTGTTTTATTTAGGATAAAGTCTTGGATGTGTGAATCTCGAGAGGGGAAACTCCAATAAAAAATCGACTCAATCCTTGAACTAAAATAGACTTGTCCCTATGAGTTTATCCATGGGAGTTTATTTCCAGATCAAGTCGTTAGTGAGCAAGAGCGCCCCTTCATTTTCAAAATGTCTACCATGGGCCCTACCTCTGGTGTGGATTTTGTTTCCCGAATGGATATGTCTGGGTCGAGTGACCTTGCTAATGCATGGGTATATTTTGACCATATGGAGCGGGTGGCAGGTTGGACAACCATGGGAGCTCATGTGTATGATCCGAGGTAGTTTTTTTTTCTCATTATCTTAAAATGGTTTTAAACATTGCACTTTTCTCAGACTACGTTGTAACTTGACAATTGCAACAGCAGAGTTTAAAGTACAAGACCAGATGGCTCAAGAAATATTTTGGAAGTCCCTCTCCGACATTGTATTGAAGTGGATTGGTAAGCCTGCCAACTTTCGCGGTTTCATGGCAGATGGGGCTGGGGCTAATTGGAATGGTGTCCGGGCAGTCTTTGGGAATGGTCTACCCCTAGAAGGTCGTGAGAGGACTTGTGAGTTCCATTGGGCTCAAAGCCTAAACCAACACTACCACCTTATTAAGCCAGATTTCCAATTAACATTTAAGGAGTTGTGCAAATAATGGCAGGCTGCACCTTTTGAAGAAGAGCATGAGGCAAAAGAAAACGAGATCCGAATGTGGTGGCGTGAAGATGGCCATACTGACGTAAGTTGTCTACCACAACTTGAGTCGTGGTTGGGGTGGTGGGAAGTTAGAATGTTCCAATGGGGACATCACTCTTTTCAGGTTGGTTTTTCTTTTTTTCCTCTCTTTTTATTGCTTTTTAATATCATCTTTTTATAAGGATCAACCACTTGAGGATCTTGCATACACCCCAACTGTGAATCTCTCAGAGAGTAAACATTGGAGCTGGCGTTCCTCTGAGGCAGGGAAAGGGAAGATGAGTCTATATGAAGCATGTCTATCATATTTGATACGCACTGTAGAACAGTCTTCAAAAGCCTTGGCATTTGAGGAAGGAAGATATATGGGAACAGGACCTTCGGTTGAGATGTTACACGATCGGATGAAGAAGAAAGTGACACCACCAGCACGAACAATGGCAACTGCAGTAGAGGAAGTGGTCCACAGCACATCTATGGAGTACACTCCTTGGGCTTCTATTGGTGATATGAAGACCGTCCGCTCAAAGCATTGATTTTCCTTTGCTGGTGAAGATGTTGGCACGGATCTTGGAGCAAAAAGCTCTCACAGGCCTGATGTTGAGTATCATTCTGCTCCAAGACATCGCCCTAGAACCGAACCACCTCAAGTGGCTGATGAAGAAAGTGCATCACAGCAGGTTGAAATTGCTTATCATAGTGTGGAGCCGAAGCAATGGGCAATCTGTCAAGTGTCAGCGAAATCAAATGTAAGGTGTGTGGGGATGCTTCCAAGGGGCAAGTGTTGGGCTTGGATCCGTGGTGATAAGTCTGCTTCTGTTCCAGCCCCATGTTTCCATGGGGAACGAAAGCAAGCAGGATTTTCAAGATGGTGTTGGTTATATTGCTACAACTCTGATGTCAACCATACAAAGCGGCTTGAAGACACTATAGTGACTAAACCTGATGCAGTACCTAAAGAATGGCCGGTTGCTAATGGGGTTGCGCTCACCTCGGATGAGATTGAAAACCTTGAGAAATCTGGTTTCAATCTTGAGAGGAGAGTTGGAGATATGAGTGACAGAACCAAGACTATTCCTACAGAGATGCATAGGAGGCCAGCACGAAAAGGTAAGGCAGTTAAATTTATTGGTACCGTCTCCAAGCAGAAGCAAGGTAAAATAAACTTGGCTCAAACACTTGAGTGTGAGATTCTCTCCACGAAGTACATCACTGCGCTTGCAAAAGAGTACACAGTCAAAACAGAAGGTGGAGAGTACACAATTGCCATTCAAGACTTTCCTTCTTGCACATGTCCAGACTTTACGAAGCGCGAGGAACATGGGAAGGCATATGCTCCTTGCAAGCATATGTACTACATCTTCATCAACATTTTGCACCAGGATCCTAAAGTGGATATTTATATACACCAAGCAAGCCTTACTATTGCCGAGTTGCAGAAAATTTTTGGAGCTAATTAGATTTTCCAGCACTATCGATGTTTATTCTCTATCAATAATATAAACTAATTATACCTTATATAATTAATAAAAATATTTTATTATTTCACTTTTCATTTCATAGACTTGTGAGGTTCTTTTCGCAATACTACTCATAGTATTTGTGAGTCTCCATTTTTGTCTTTACCCTCTCAAAAAATATTTCGTGATAGTCTTTCGGGTGTATGATGTTCCAATGTATTGTGAGAGCATATGTACCATCACAGTTGTTTTTTTTTCCTTTCAAATGGTTATATGGCCTTATATAGAATCTTAATTCAAATTTCATACTTT